AGGAATGTATACGCAAATTGTTTGCGAATTGTACTTGAGTGATGATTCCAGAACTGTATGATTCATGCATGTTAATACCATGAAAAATGGTGTCCCGAAAAAATATCTCGGATTAAAAAATTGTTGGCGCACTGTATTTCACGCTACTAAGTTGAGCAAGACTTTAAATACACCAGGAACCTGACGGCTCTACCTGATTGTATTCTTTGTTACGCCGGTGGCTGTTGTACCTGTGCCTTACCAGGCATATCGTCAAGAATTTCTATAATTTGGCTATCTTCCGGTCTGCTGGTTTCAAACAATCGATACTAGCTGTATCTTTGCATCCGTCTCCCTTGATTATATAGAACTTCTCACTTCGCTTGTTCATTTTGAATGGCTCATTGTAAGATGGTTCAAGTGGTCGACGAACGGCGTCGTGGCGGATGAATACTTGTGATGTCTTTTGTAGAACAGGGTGAGCGAGGACATCAACCGTTCGAGGTTTAACCAGAGAAGACTTAACTGAACGCTTTCGTTTGTAAACCTAGTCACATAAAATGTCCCACTGAAAACATGTTTGAAAGTTGGGGGAAACAAACTCACCTGGTGGGCTAAGTGTGGTCTCATAGACGAGTTCTGCAGAGGTGCACCCAACATCAACTTTCACCGCGTCACGAATGTCTAGCAGGACCAAAGGTAGTGCATCGACCCCCTGATATATGTTTGCAACTAAAAGGGAAGCTTTCAGCTGTCAATGGAAGCGTTCTACCGTGCCGTTCGCTTGTATATGGTTGGCTGTCGTTCGGAACCGAGTGCAACCGAAGAGTGCGGTTAGAGCGTGAAATAATCCACGCTCGAACTGGCGCCCACGGTCAATTGTTACGTAGGACGGACATCCAAAGTCCGCAATCCATCTTTCTATAAAAATTTGAGCGACAGACTCAGCAGTAATACCTTTAATGGTTACTATCCCGTAAAAGGATCCACGCAAGTGAAACCGTAAGCACATCCATTAGATTCTGGTAGAGGTCCTAAAATGTCCGCGTGGACTTGGTCGAAACGCATGTCTGGGGCCAGAAAAGAGCCTAAAGGGCTTTAACTGTGTCGTGTGACTTTGCACTTCTGACAAGCTAAGCACAACTGGGCCCTCCGCCTAAAATCTTTGTTCATTCCTGGCCAGCAGAAACCTTGTGCAATAAGTCTGACTCCGGTCCGTACACCTGGATGGGACAGTTTGTGCAACGTGTTGAAGAAGTTGCGTCGAAATCTCTTTGGAACTATTGGACGTGGGTGACTGTAAATAAATAAGTCGATGTTATATTCTCACAAAAAAACTTAACATGAGAGAAGCCAGATTACAGACTTTATCACACCGATATATCTCAAAATATCCACAAGCCTATGAGTCCTGAGTGGTGCAGACGGAATGTCATTAAACTCCAATAAAACAGCCGAAGATCCTGCTAGTTATGAAACGAACAGGAAAACATTACTTTTTGGCGTATACAAGTGTTAAAGTTTAGATAATAAGAAATATTATCCTCACATATTGGGTTTAACATGAGGGGTGCCAGTTTACAAGCACCATCAGATTCACAATTTTGGAAAGTTTACCAACTGGCATTTACCACCAATCAATTCACATATCAGGTTAGTAGTGTGCGTAATCTTATTAGAATTTGCTGAAATTCATGAAACGGGTATGGATTTTCATTTTCCATCATACATATAGGTTCAACTATCCATATCAAAAGTGCACAGTGTTCAAAGTTTGCGTTGTAACCAACCAACGTTGTTAGTCCATGCGCACAGTGCTAATTAGTGATATAACAGTTTATTCCTCAGAACGATCTTCAGTTTTTAGCTTCGCCAACCACAGACGATCAACTTATACAATCTGGAGTATCAATAAAGTATTCACAGTTATATAACCAACGTGTATGTCTATACCAATGCATTTCCGGGCCTTCATGTTGTGTTTGAAGGTAATGGAAATCAATTCCACCAAGAATATTTGTTGCATTGGATTGATCTAGATGTTGATATGATCAATAGTCCAAATGGCAGTGTTTAATAATAATAACAATAATAATCATATATTTCATGCGACAAAGGTTACATAAATACAAACCAGTTTACAGGTTTGATCACTTTGGTAATGAGAGATGGCTATTATGTACAATGTTATGCCATACATTAGATGCTGTGATTTATGGCATATAGGAGGTGTGTTGAAGCAGGCTCAGTTCGAATTTGAAGATTATCCGGTCAGCGTTTGAATCATCCAATATTTTTGAAGGTGAGGCCGCATCACAGTCATGACCTTGAGGTGTGCGCGTTCGTCATAACGTTTTGACGGCAATATTTCCCACTGGCGGATGCGATTTGTAGGATTCCATTTTAATGCAGGACTGGCTAAGTAAATCTGAAAAGTGAATGACAAAAGCGAGCAGCAGGCGAAATTTGTTACAGGAGCACAAAAATACGCAGGAGTAGATCGACCATGATACATCTGGGTGAGTTTGTACTGACTGTTAAACTTACTTGAGGAAGTGTCCAGAACCAACTGTTTAGAGGTAAGCTTAGGTGGAAGATGAAGGTGCGCACGACAGTGATGAAGGTCAGTCTGAAGCTGAAGATATCGCTACGAAATAGAAAGATTGGAGGATATTTGACTACGTATTACCTTGTTGTGTACCCATGTACAAGCGTATGATGAAGTTATAAACATTCAGGTGAAATTCGTGGTTTTTTTTCTCTTAGGACCACCACCCTATATCTGGTCACGAGGGAGATGATCATGGTGTTGCCTGTTGAGTATTACCATATTTGGGCTACCAAAACTATGTTGGCGCAGAGTACTTAGATGTAAGTACTGATGTCAAAGGGCAAATAATAAAGAGTTGCATGCTATGAAAATGCACCAACAGACAGTTTTTTATCTTTTCGGAGTAGAGAGATTACTTTAGGGGACGGTTTTTAGGAAATAGGTGCTAAGTCGTGAGATCAGTTAGGTTATGAAGAAACGTAGGTTACATTTGAGTATCTAATGAGTTCACTGTAGCATATCGTGTCGCACTCCGCTTCCTGTTCACTCTTGGTCATTTTTTTCAAAGAAATTAGATTTTAACTTGACTATTGCGTCTAGTTTTCGGCATTGTATACTTATGTCATTGCTGTTAGTCTCCCTTGAGTCTAGGTACCAGTAGTACCTTTGTACATGGCATTACCGTTTGTGGTTTGGCCGTCAACGAATTGATGAGATTCGTTAGATAGGAGGAATCTATTAAGTAGTCGTTGAAACTAGCCGAGAGAACGGCATGCTCGTATAGGAGCGGGAAGTTTGTTGCACAGCATACTGTATTGCGTTATGAAAAACCTACATCGAAGTTTTGAGCGATACTTATTTATTGGGATGATGTTCTCGCTATTACGCAGATTATATGCCTGTGTTGTTTTAAAAGTGACAGCACATTTCGTTTTAGGGTTTGCAAATAAAAGACGAAAAAGAAGTGTTAAGTTGAGCTTCAGGCGTCTCAGCCAGAGTGATTCTAGTCCTAGTTTTTTGCATCTTGCTTCTTAAGGAAGTCCTTCGTTATGTATTAGTAGGCGCCGAGTAAAGTTCCGTTGAATGTTCTCTACTCGAATTCTGTCCGATACATTCATGCTACCATAGATAACGGTGCAGTACTCTAATATTGATCGAACCATAGCCTTGTACAGTATAAGTTTTGCCTCAGGTATGAGTATGTTTCTGTGTAGAAGACCGATGAGTCTTCTGCCCTTGGAAACTACTGAGTCTGCATACTCCGTAAAAGTCAAACTTCTGGAGTAAGTGATTCCGAGGTCTTTCACAGTGTTGTATACCTGCAGTGCAATGTCACCCAAGTGTAGTGTTACTTCTGGGTGGGATTTATTGAAATGGAGGATGCCACTTTTATTTGGGTTTAGAGGGAGCTGCAAGGTCTCGCTCCATATGAATATCCTCCTCAGATCTTCTTGTATTTGAGAGAAACCCTGTGTTAGTGCTGTGGGAAAAAAGCTGTAGACTATCTTCAAGTCGTCAGCGAAAAGGTAGGGTATGCCATTTTGGATAACACTGCAGATATCGTTTACATAGATTAAGAAAAGTATCGGTCCTAGCACACTACCCTGGACGACACCACTCTGTATAAGTCTAGGGGAGGAGTAGCGATTACTGAATTTTACTACTTGGAAGCGACCCTCTAAAGATGTTCTGAGCCAGGACAGTAACGGGTCTCGGAAACCATATGATTGCAACTTAGTGACCAAGCGTTTGTGAGGCACCTTATCGAATGCCTGAGTGGTGCAGACGGAATGTCATTAAACTCCAATAAAACAGCCGAAGATCCTGCTAGTTATGAAACGAACAGGAAAACATTACTTTTTGGCGTATACAAGTGTTAAAGTTTAGATAATAAGAAATATTATCCTCACATATTGGGTTTAACATGAGGGGTGCCAGTTTACAAGCACCATCAGATTCACAATTTTGGAAAGTTTACCAACTGGCATTTACCACCAATCAATTCACATATCAGGTTAGTAGTGTGCGTAATCTTATTAGAATTTGCTGAAATTCATGAAACGGGTATGGATTTTCATTTTCCATCATACATATAGGTTCAACTATCCATATCAAAAGTGCACAGTGTTCAAAGTTTGCGTTGTAACCAACCAACGTTGTTAGTCCATGCGCACAGTGCTAATTAGTGATATAACAGTTTATTCCTCAGAACGATCTTCAGTTTTTAGCTTCGCCAACCACAGACGATCAACTTATACAATCTGGAGTATCAATAAAGTATTCACAGTTATATAACCAACGTGTATGTCTATACCAATGCATTTCCGGGCCTTCATGTTGTGTTTGAAGGTAATGGAAATCAATTCCACCAAGAATATTTGTTGCATTGGATTGATCTAGATGTTGATATGATCAATAGTCCAAATGGCAGTGTTTAATAATAATAACAATAATAATCATATATTTCATGCGACAAAGGTTACATAAATACAAACCAGTTTACAGGTTTGATCACTTTGGTAATGAGAGATGGCTATTATGTACAATGTTATGCCATACATTAGATGCTGTGATTTATGGCATATAGGAGGTGTGTTGAAGCAGGCTCAGTTCGAATTTGAAGATTATCCGGTCAGCGTTTGAATCATCCAATATTTTTGAAGGTGAGGCCGCATCACAGTCATGACCTTGAGGTGTGCGCGTTCGTCATAACGTTTTGACGGCAATATTTCCCACTGGCGGATGCGATTTGTAGGATTCCATTTTAATGCAGGACTGGCTAAGTAAATCTGAAAAGTGAATGACAAAAGCGAGCAGCAGGCGAAATTTGTTACAGGAGCACAAAAATACGCAGGAGTAGATCGACCATGATACATCTGGGTGAGTTTGTACTGACTGTTAAACTTACTTGAGGAAGTGTCCAGAACCAACTGTTTAGAGGTAAGCTTAGGTGGAAGATGAAGGTGCGCACGACAGTGATGAAGGTCAGTCTGAAGCTGAAGATATCGCTACGAAATAGAAAGATTGGAGGATATTTGACTACGTATTACCTTGTTGTGTACCCATGTACAAGCGTATGATGAAGTTATAAACATTCAGGTGAAATTCGTGGTTTTTTTTCTCTTAGGACCACCACCCTATATCTGGTCACGAGGGAGATGATCATGGTGTTGCCTGTTGAGTATTACCATATTTGGGCTACCAAAACTATGTTGGCGCAGAGTACTTAGATGTAAGTACTGATGTCAAAGGGCAAATAATAAAGAGTTGCATGCTATGAAAATGCACCAACAGACAGTTTTTTATCTTTTCGGAGTAGAGAGATTACTTTAGGGGACGGTTTTTAGGAAATAGGTGCTAAGTCGTGAGATCAGTTAGGTTATGAAGAAACGTAGGTTACATTTGAGTATCTAATGAGTTCACTGTAGCATATCGTGTCGCACTCCGCTTCCTGTTCACTCTTGGTCATTTTTTTCAAAGAAATTAGATTTTAACTTGACTATTGCGTCTAGTTTTCGGCATTGTATACTTATGTCATTGCTGTTAGTCTCCCTTGAGTCTAGGTACCAGTAGTACCTTTGTACATGGCATTACCGTTTGTGGTTTGGCCGTCAACGAATTGATGAGATTCGTTAGATAGGAGGAATCTATTAAGTAGTCGTTGAAACTAGCCGAGAGAACGGCATGCTCGTATAGGAGCGGGAAGTTTGTTGCACAGCATACCGTATTGCGTTATGAAAAACCTACATCGAAGTTTTGAGCGATACTTATTTATTGGGATGATGTTCTCGCTATTGCGCAGATTATATGCCTGTGTTGTTTTAAAAGTGACAGCACATTTCGTTTTAGGGTTTGCAAATAAAAGACGAAAAAGAAGTGTTAAGTTGAGCTTCAGGCGTCTCAGCCAGAGTGATTCCAGTCCTAGATTTTGCATCTTGCTTCTTAAGGAAGTCCTTCGTTATGTATTAGTAGGCGCCGAGTAAAGTTCCGTTGAATGTTCTCTACTCGAATTCTGTCCGATACATTCATGCTACCATAGATAACGGTGCAGTACTGTAATAGTGATCGAACCATAGCCTTGTACAGTATAAGTTTTGCCTCAGGTATGAGTATGTTTCTGTGTCGAAGACCGATGAGTCTTCTGCCCTTGGAATCTACTGAGTCTGCATACTCCGTAAAAGTCAAACTTCTGGAGTAAGTGATTCCGAGGTCTTTCACAGTGTTGTATACCCGCAGTGCAATGTCACCCAAGTGAAGTGTTACTTCTGGGTGGGATTTATTGAAATGGAGGATGCCACTTTTATTTGGGTTTAGAGGGAGCTGCAAGGTCTCGCTCCATATGAATATCCTCCTCAGATCTTCTTGTATTTGAGAGAAACCCTGTGTTAGTGCTGTGGGAAAAAAGCTGTAGACTATCTTCAAGTCGTCAGCGAAAAGGTAGGGTATGCCATTTTGGATAACACTGCAGATATCGTTTACATAGATTAAGAAAAGTATCGGTCCTAGCACACTACCCTGGACGACACCACTCTGTATAAGTCTAGGGGAGGAGTAGCGATTACTGAATTTTACTACTTGGAAGCGACCCTCTAAAGATGTTCTGAGCCAGGACAGTAACGGGTCTCGGAAACCATATGATTGCAACTTAGTGACCAAGCGTTTGTGAGGCACCTTATCGAATGCCTGAGTGGTGCAGACGGAATGTCATTAAACTCCAATAAAACAGCCGAAGATCCTGCTAGTTATGAAACGAACAGGAAAACATTACTTTTTGGCGTATACAAGTGTTAAAGTTTAGATAATAAGAAATATTATCCTCACATATTGGGTTTAACATGAGGGGTGCCAGTTTACAAGCACCATCAGATTCACAATTTTGGAAAGTTTACCAACTGGCATTTACCACCAATCAATTCACATATCAGGTTAGTAGTGTGCGTAATCTTATTAGAATTTGCTGAAATTCATGAAACGGGTATGGATTTTCATTTTCCATCATACATATAGGTTCAACTATCCATATCAAAAGTGCACAGTGTTCAAAGTTTGCGTTGTAACCAACCAACGTTGTTAGTCCATGCGCACAGTGCTAATTAGTGATATAACAGTTTATTCCTCAGAACGATCTTCAGTTTTTAGCTTCGCCAACCACAGACGATCAACTTATACAATCTGGAGTATCAATAAAGTATTCACAGTTATATAACCAACGTGTATGTCTATACCAATGCATTTCCGGGCCTTCATGTTGTGTTTGAAGGTAATGGAAATCAATTCCACCAAGAATATTTGTTGCATTGGATTGATCTAGATGTTGATATGATCAATAATCTAAATGGCAATGTGAATACGAATACGTCGGGCATCTTTTGAATGAGCGTAAGCAGCATCATTTGAGAGGTGTATTCGTTGCATACTGACTTTATTTGAGAAGATCACTCGATGCCGAGCATTAGAAAATATATAATGTGGAGGTGCCACAGGTTATTTGCGTTCCGAGCCAAGAGGTAATTGTCCGCGGGTTTAGTCATCCGTTCAGAATGTCTCTGGTACCGTTGCCGTTTGAATATTTTAATAATAATAATATTCACTTCTGAATGTACAGGCAAACACCATTTCTATACGTGTGAATAAGTTTATATTTAAATTTCACGCATCTTCATGGAAGGTAATCCCAATCCCTACCCGTTGTCACTAGGAGATATAAGTGTTCGTATAATGGAACAATCAAGCAGAGTAGGTATGCAGGGAATCTACAAGTTCGACAAGTGGAAGTATTGTCGTCTCATTGATTTGTTCGTCGGAAGCAAATAATCTTGAACAACCGGCCAGTTTTTCGCAAAGATGGTCCAGAATTCGCGAAGGTGTGGGAGGAGTCCAGCCATTATTGGCCTCAAGGAACAGGTGGTATTTCCACAGAGGAATTATGTTCAAACTGAATCGGAACATCCAGTGTTGACATGGAGCTGTTTCTGAGAATGAGAAGAGAAAGACAAGCAGGTACGGAAAAAGAAATTACTACGCTATCCAGTTTGGAGAAGAGAGAGGTCCCCATTCTTTTTGGCTTACTCGGACTTTACGTACATTTTCGTGCATACCTGTGCAGTCAACTACATAGTTTTTCCGTAATGAGGTTCTTAAAGTTTTCTATATTTGGGGTGTACCGTAGTGGCTTCGAGAGGAAAACGGTTTTCATTAAGCTCATTATACAGAGAGGAGCCAGTGCTCACACATTTGTATTCAATCGTAAAGCCATCAGCATTAAAGGAACTGAAGGACTTTAATAACTCTGATCCACACATTCAGAGATCTATGTACTTTCATGGTGGGGGCGATGGCTGGTCCATTATCACGTGCCAATTGCTCCATTATGCTTTGTGTCTGTGGATGTAGTTTGAATGTCAAGGAATTAATGGGTATCCGTGAAAGGAAGGAATTCGTTGAGTAGACGTTGAACAGGAAACGGGGACATGCAAGAGTGAATAAAACGTGAGAGCTTATCCCATAACTTGCTGTGCCGTATCATAGGGGATCGTGACCTAAGTTTAAGACGTTTTTCGATAAGTACGGTGCACTCACGATTGCGTAGACTGTACGAGGACATAGGCTTAAAGTAGGAGCGCAACGGGCATGAGTATTGCCACGCGAAAGGCGGAAAAATAGGTTAAGGTTGTGCTTAAGGCGTCTTAGCCAAAGTGGGTCAATTTTCGGTTTTTACACCTTCCTTCATAATCCAGTTCTTCGTGACAGCCCAGTACGTAGCGGGTAAACTTTCCTTGAATATTTCTTATGTGTGTCCTATCCAAAGCATGCATATTACTGGAGATGACTATGCCATATTCAGGTAAAGGGTGGATCACTGCTTTGAATAAGAGCAGTCTAGCCTCAGTGGTATACACATGTATAAGCAAAAAGCCAACTGAGCGCCGATGCTTGGAGGCAAGGGACTGTGCATACTTCGTAAACGTTAAGTTCCGCGAATACCTAATGCCTAGATCACACACTGAGTTGTAAGATCGCAGAACAGAATCGCCAAGGTGTAAGCTGACAGTTGGGTAAGAATTATGGGATCATAGGATTCCGCGTTTACTAGAGTTGCTATATTCCACTCCAAGCGAACAAATAAGTAGGTCTTCCCGAATTCTGTTGAAACCCTCACTCAGTGATGAGTGGGGGAAGCTATACACAATTTTTAAGTCGTCTCCAAACAGGTAGGGTTCACCATATTTTACCATGTTAGAAGCATCATTTATGTATAGGAGGGACATCTCAAAAATCGTATATTTACCTGATCCTACTGGAGACAGTTGTAGCTTGAGAGCTGTGGACGAAAACTCAAGATGCAGCTCAAGGTCTTCTTTTTGACACCGAGCTAGTTCAACGAGGTCAACGCCCTCGATATGATTTATCGAAGCTACTCTTGATAGTGCATCGGCCACGGAGTTATCTGCTTCAGAAATTGGCGGACATCAGACGTGAACTGAGAAATGTAATCCGGTTGTTGTGACTCAAAAGGGGATCATTTCTCAGACGCCAAGTTAAAAGAAAAGGTTAACGGCTTGTAGTCTGTGAAAATAATGAAGTCATGACCTTCCACCGAATATCGAAAATGGTGTACAGAACGGTACGTAGCTAGGAGTTCCCCAACAAATGTGCTGTATCTCGTTTCCGCGTCTTGCAGCCACCCCGAGAAAAAGGTTAAAGGTTGCCGCTGGTTGTCAGTCAACTGCTGTAAGACTGATCCGATTGCTGAGTCAGATGCATCAACAGCAATACTCAAGGGAGCATTGGGGTCGTGATACATGAGCGTGGTTGCGTTTGAAATGGCCTCCTTGACCTTAGAGAAAGCAAGTCTAGTCACACTGCCCAAGAGCCACGCACTTCGCGGTCCCCCGAAGTAGATCTGTGAGCGGTCTCATTACAGAGGGACGGTCGGAAATGAACCTCCGGTAATAACCTACCAAACCATTGAAAGTGCGGAGCTGCTCCATAGCCGTCGGCTGTCAATAGTTCGTGATAGCCGCCACTTCACCTCTCGATGGGTGTACACCTTTGTTGTCAATGGTATGCCCAAGGAAGCTGAGTGATTCAACTCCTATTTCACACTTCTGTAAGTTGACTGTGATGCCATGTTGTTTTAGTCTTTCGAATATG